GCAAACAATACAGAGGATCTAGATTTAGGCTGATCTGTGTCATCCTTTTGTCTAAATTTTATCATTATTAAAACACAAACTGTTTTGTTTTCCAGTCTGGCCGTCTGGACTCTCATTACCCGAAGGTATGCGGTCACCAAGGCAATGTGCTGGATATCAAGTGGAATCCCTTCTTTGAAAACATCATTGCATCCTGCTCTGAAGACACCTCGGTTAGTGAGCCATGAATATTTGACTTTTATGAAAACATGTACGGGTATGTGTTAAAAAAAAAAAAAAAGACATTTGGACTAATAATGGTAGATACTTATAAGAAAGGAGAAAGAGGCCTTGCCTTAAGAAAATGTAATTTTGAAACAGATAATCAGAAAAAATCCCAGTCAGTCACTTCCTGATTGCTTGACACATAAGATTAAATCCTTTGAGGGTATTTCTTCCAGTACATCCTCACATTACATCACTCAGCTCAGTAAATCCATAGCAGCTCTATGTTCTGTGTAGTACTTTCACTCATTTAAGGATGATATCATCTGGTCCAGCACAGAGCCTCTAGCACTCACAGTAATCTGGTCTAATCCTCATGCACTGGGCTACAATGATATATCTTGTGCTATTTTGGATCAAATAAATCTCTGATTATGTCATGCGGGTTTTAGTTTGTTTGGAGTTTAACAGTGAAAACAAGTCTAAAAGTCCCCCTAACCAAATGACAAAACTAACACTGTGAGGGGTAAAATAAGTCTGAGGGTGTTTGTTTTCATTTTTTATTTTGTGAATGTGGCAGGTTCGAATATGGGAGATCCCAGAGGGTGGTCTGAGGCGCAACATGACGGAGGCAGTGCTGGAGCTGTACGGTCACAGCAGGCGGGTGGGTCTGATTGAGTGGCACCCCACAGCCAGCGGCATCCTCTTCAGTGCAGGCTATGATTACAAGGTACCGCACCAGTCAAGCCCAGAATATCCCTGGAATCATTAAAACAGTGAGCTGAAATGGAATAAATTGTTTTTGATCAACAGAAATCTTGAAGTCAGTTTTATGCAAAGAATGCCTTCATTACAGGGGCAGCTGTGGCTGAGTGGTTAGAACAGTCGTCCTCCAATGCAAGAGTTGAGGGTTCGAATCCACCAGCAGTCACATGCCTAAGTGTCCCTGGGCAAGACACTGAACCCCTCATTGCCTCCAATGTGTGTCCCATCGGTGTATGAATGTGATAAAGCTCTGATTATTCTTTGTATAGCTCTAGTAGAGTGCTGTATGAATGGGTAAATGAGGATACAAATTGTTGTAAAGAGCTTTGAGTATCTTGATAAGATAGAAAGGTGCTATATAAGTACAGTCCATTTACCATTACGTATATGACTAAAGCCATTTAACAGCTGTATCTAAACCAACACTTCCTGATGTGTCAGATCCTGATCTGGAACCTGGAGATTGGAGAGCCGGTGAAAATGATAGACTGCCACACTGACGTCATCCTGAGCTTGTCCTTTAATACTGACGGCAGCCTGCTGGCCACCAGCTGCAAAGACAAGGTGCTGCGAGTCATTGAGCCTCGCTCTGGACGAGTCCTTCAGGTGAGACTTCTATAAAACTGTGTTTTTTTTTTTTTAATATACACGTGCATGCATGGGTTTCCTCCAGGTACTCCAGTTTCCTCCCACAGACCAAAAACATGCATGTTAGACTGATTGGTAACTAAATTGTCCCTAGGTGTGAGTGAGAGAGTGAATGGTTGTTTGTCTCGTTTGTCTCTGTGTCCCTGTGATGGACTGGAGACCAGTCCAGGGTGTACCCCACCCCTCGCACAGTGATTGCCGGACATGGGCACCGGCAACCCCCGTGACCCAAAAATGGAAGAAGCGGGTAAAGATAATGGATGGATGGAACCTTTATTTATACAGGCTAGCCTCACTGAGCCATGAGGAATCATTTACAATAGGGACCGGTTCCAGACACAACAGCTAAAGTACAGACAACAATGACAGTAAATAATAACAATAAACTACAGTAAAAATGCTGTTAAAATAAGAGTAGTATACAAAACAATGAATCAGCTATGACAGAAACAACTAAACCTTCATATGGTGGTCCAGATGCAGATAATGCTAATGAATCACTACAGGAGCTTCATGATATCATCAGCTCGCTGCAGAACAAACACCCCGAGGCTCTTTACGTTGTAGCCGGAGACTTTAACCACGTGAATCTAAAGGACTGTCTCCCAAGCTTTAATCAGCATGTGACGATTCCAACACGTGGAGACCGCACGCTGGACCGTGTTTACACGAACGTAAAAGATGCATACAAAGCCGAACCCCGCCCCCACCTAGGACTGTCAGACCACATCTCAATCTTCCTGGCTCCTGCTTACATGCCCCCGCTGAGACGCTCCAGACCAGTACAAAAGAAAGTTAAATGCTGGATCCAGGACAGTGGCCCCATACTGAGAGATTGTTTTGATCGAACAGACTGGCAGGTTTTCAGAGAAGCTGCTGAAAATGGAGGTTCGCTTGATCTTGACCAATACACATCCTCAGTACTGGGTTACATTAGTACATGTACTGACACAGTCTCCACTATCAGAAATGTTAAAAGCTACCCAAACAGAAAACCTTGGCTGAATGCAGAGGTGCGTACCCTGCTGGAAGCCAGGAACACTGCCTTCAGGTCTGGAAACTCAGAGGAGCTGAGTAGGACAAGAAAAGAGCTGGTTGCTGGTATTAAGAGGGCCAAGGCCGCATATGCAAAGAGGATCGAGGGTCAATTCATCTCACAAGACCCTCGGAGCATGTGGAGGGGCATTAAGTGCATAACAGATTATAAAGGAAGGAGTGAACAATGCCCCAAAGACCCATCTCTGCCTGATGCCCTCAACAAGTTCTATGCACGCTTTGAAGACCCGAACAGACCACCCAGCACCAGACTCACCTCACCACCGGATGAAGAGCATCTCAGCGTGACCTCAGCAGAAGTAAGGAGTACCTTCAGGAGGATTAATCCGCACAAAGCAACTGGCCCAGACAACATCCCCGGAAAAGTGTTGAAGGAATGTGCTGATCAGCTCTGTGAGGTGCTGGCAGACATCTTTAACACCTCACTTATCCTGGAGACAGTTCCCACCTGCCTGAAGACTGCCACCATCATCCCAGTCCCAAAAAGCTCTACAGTGACTGGTCTGAATGACTATCGGCCAGTGGCCCTCACCCCGATAGTCGCTAAATGCTTCGAAAAACTGGTCATGACTCACATCAAAACAACCATCAACATCAACGAGGACCCTCATCAGTATGCATACCGTGAGAACCGATCAACAGAGGATGCAATCTCCTCTGTGGTCCACACTGCACTCAACCACCTGGAGCAGAAAAACTCTTACGTCCGTATGCTCTTTGTGGACTTCACATCCGCCTTCAACACCATGATCCCCCAAACCCTGATGGACAAACTATCCACACTAGGACTAAGCCCCTCCATCTGCAACTGGGTACTAGACTTTTTAACAAACAGACCACAGTTAGTGAGGATCCACAACCTCTCCTCCTCCACCATAACCCTCAGCACTGGCTCTCCTCAGGGATGTGTGTTGAGCCCCCTCCTGTTTACTCTGCTCACATATGATTGTGCAGCTACCCATCCAGGCTGTCACGTTGTAAAGTTTGCAGATGATACAGCGGTGGTGGGATGCATCACAAACAATGATGAGTCCAGCTACAGGCAAGAGGTGGAACACCTGGAGAGCTGGTGCAGAGAGAATAACCTTCACATCAATGTGAAGAAGACAAAGGAGATGATTGTG